CTGTTGCCACTTTTTCTCAGCTCTTACTGGACCGATTTCTTTCAAAAATACGTCAAAATATCACAAATCGTATCTAGTTGAAGACATTGCCCTTAAAAATTGAAAAAAATTCCCTCGTTTCCCGCAAATGGGGGAAATATCCAAAAAAATTACAAATATAAAAATCGCTAATTTTTTAGCATGTCTTGCTGAAAGGATTATACTTTTTTATAGTAAAAATTGAATTACAATGCTATGTAATATATTTTCTAAAATTAAAAAGAAATGTTTAAAGTAATAATTAAATATTTAGTGTATTGACTGGTTACATATTTTTTGAATAGGAAGTTTATTAATGAGAAGAAAATTGTTTTCGAATTATAGAAGCGTATTTATTATTAAGCAATGTATTAATTATTTTAACTAATGAAAGTTTTAGACTAAGTGAGAGCAGATACGCTAAAAGTCAAAAAAAATATACAGACAAAGAATACATCAGTATATACTGTAAGAGAAAAATTAAGACAATAACTTTACAAAAAAGCGAATTAATAAATTTACTGTTAATAGTAGTTATATAAGTTCCTGACTATATATCAATTTAAACAAAAAAATTTTTGAAATCTTTATCAAATTTTATACTTAATGATATTAATTTTAAACTTGCAAATTTAAATAAAGTAAGGTTAAAAGTTCAACATTTTTTAAATTGTAAACTTTCATAAAAATCAACTTTAAAGGACCCAAAAAATAGATTAAACATAACATTTTTAATCGTAATTTTGCACGGATTATTTTTAACATACTAAAAATAAAAATCAATTTTTAAATATAAATACTCGTTTTTATAAATTAGTAATAATGACAAATAAAGAGGTGATAAAAAAAATCTAATTACAATTATTTAATCTAAATTAGATAAAAATCAAACAAATTTTTAATTTTTTTCACGTCAAATAGAATTAAGAAAAAAAAAATGCGCCATTCCGGGAACGGTTTCGAGTGTGAAACACTGATTTGTGACCTACTTGACAACTGTATATCTCACTTGTACTATGATAAAAAGAACAATTTAAGCTAGTTAAAAATTGAAAGTTGTTTTTTTTAACGTAGGAGGCAAAATATTCAAAATAAGTTTAAATTTATATTCAATTTAAGTTAGATTCATGTAACCTATTAAAAATCGGTGTACTAACCAAATGTACTATGACTAACCAAAGGTTATGTATTTTAATATAAAATATAGCACATTTTTGAATATGGTAGTCATTATCATCTTAAGTTCAAAATGTTTTTACATATAAAAGTGTATTACAAAAGCATAAATTTAAGATAAATATAATAGTGTTAGTATTTCCGGAACACTTTCAAAAATTAAGTTGAAAAACTACTAGTTTCTATTCACGTGTTTAGAGTTTTAACTCCCTCGTATAAAGGGAAATGGTCCAATTAAAAAAAAAAGTATGTTGGATGATAGGGGCATATAACAAGTATTTATATAAAAAGAAATCTATTGATCCATATATTTTTTAAAAAGTTATAGCAATATAAATTAAAAAATAGAAAATCGTTATTTTTTTCAAAAAAATCTTTAACTTTAATGTCCGTTTTTACCACGAAGCCAAGAGGTCAAATTTACTTTTTTCAAATTATAGTTTATCACATTAATTTTAATTTAAAGTTACAGTGTTTCCGGAACATTTTAAAAAGTTAAGTTGAAAAAGTAAATACTTTGTGCAAAAGTTCCAATTTTGAAACCCTCTCTGTGAGCAACTAAAGAGTCAGATTAAAAAAAATATATACTAAATGATAGTTAAATACCGAATGTATTTATAAAAAAATAACAGTTTTTATCCATACATTTTCAAAAAAGTTATGGCAGTTTTAAGTAAAAAAATTTTGTAAATTCCAATTTATATTATTGAAATTTTAACTAGATACAATTTATGATTTTTTGATGTTTTGTTGAAAAAAATCGGGCCTCTGATAGCTGAGAAATAGTAATGATGACACAAAATAAGAAGAATAACAATAAAAATAAAAATAACATATCATAGTAAAATTAATACCTTCTAATCTTCATATTGTAGCTAAAATCATATTATAAAGGAGAACTAATGCCTTTTCTGCTTCACTTGAAGCTAAATAAGTAATATTTCTACTTATCATCTACGTGATTGGCTATAATAAGTTCGTCCAATAGGTAAAAAAAGATCTTTGAAAATCACCAAAATGTGTCAACATAATTTCTACAATTATTCAACATTAAATTATGTTATCGATTAGTTATCAAAAATTATATTATGATAATTATATTCTTTTATTAAATTTAAAATATAAAACTTCACAAATTCAGTCTCTTTGTATAATATAAATAGTAAAGATAATTGTTTCGTTATTTTTTCTTTTTCACATTTATTTCTAGTTTCTATTTTAACGTGACATCCATCAACAAATTTTAAATTTTTTAAAAACGTTATTCTTAAATCATATGGCGTAGAACATTTGTCTGGTGGGAAAAATCGATTTTTCCGTATTAAAGTTGATACGATTGTTTTCATCTGCATCATAGTGTATTTTATTCCAATACAGTTTTTCATACGTGCGCCAAATGGAAGAAACGCATATG